CTGCTGACTCACCGCTGGTCTCCAAAACTGCATGCACCTGATATTTGACTTCATACATTCTGTACAGGTCCGGAAAGAGCAGAGGATGAACCCGAAAGAGGAAGAAAGTCCCAGGGCTTACCCCGTCTCCTAAAGGAACTGCTGAAGGAAATAGAGAAGGCACCGCGTGGTAGGTATACTTTGGTCTGTTCACCGTGAGACCTGGGAAGCTGAGGTCTGATGTTCATGTGTGGACAAGCCGTAGCCTGGATCCGTAGCAGGAAGGGATTGCTCAGGGCCGTGCTGTGGCGGTGTTCCATGTAACGCCTTGCAGACACTGTCAAGCACCAGGGATGGTCTGCTGCCACTTCTGCATCCAGCCAAGACCCAGCGGCAGCTGCTCCCCCAGCACGACCATTACTTGTCAGAGCTGCTTTGTGCAGACGCTGGCACCCAGGCGGCAGCAACTGGCGAGTGCTGTGCTTCTGTTCGTACAAAGCCCTCTGTGCAGCTGAGCCAGTGCAAGGCAGGAGGAGCATCCCGAGCAGGGATGGCTGCCTGTGCTAGCAGTGCTGGAAACGAGCTGGAGATGCTGATTCTGAAGGTGCTTGTGCTGGAGCTTTAATTTCAGCCTGCAGATAGCTGGCTGTGGTGGTTGGTGACGCGCGCAGCACGTGGTGTGAGGGCCTTGCATAGGAGCTGATTGCTGAGGAGGCATGAGAGGGTCGGCACCCTCCAGTTCCTGGGAGGGCCCAAGTGCCCTCGGGCAACGGAGGGGGTGGCAGTGGATGTGGGGGGCTGGGAGCAGCAGACTTTGGGCGGGCTCAGGGTTGGAGTAGCTCAGTTCCCGATGAGAGCACATCGCATCCAATCCTACTGTCCTGCTTTCTTTCTAAAGGAATTGACCAAGAAACTGAGCAGGATGCACTGCAGGAAGGCAGACATCCCACCCTGCCGGTCTCGGACAGTGGAACGCAGGCAGTGCCAACAGCTGGCACGCCAGGTAATTTCTGTGCCGCGTAATTCCATCCAGCATCACTAACCGCGTCAGCAACCTTGCACACCAGGTCAGCAGCCAAACCTGAGCGTGTGGGCACAGAGCACGTGTCAAAGAAGCCAGGGATGGCCCTGTGAAAGTGGCTGACCTCAGTGGGGTGTGGAGAGTTGTTCCAGCGGCGTGCCAGAGGAGGGACGTGCAGACCTCTGTGACGCTGCTCAGCTCCCACCGCTCGCAGTTCCCCGAGTTGTGAGCCTTGCCCTTTTGCAACAAAGCCACCCGAGGGCGATGAGCGGGGTCCTGTGCGGTAGGAGCCTGCAGGGGTGTTTCTCCCCTGGGCTGGCTCCGGCTGTGCCCTGCGCTGGCCGGAGCCCGACCTCCAGCCTGGGGGGTGTCCTGCGGGAGAGCTCAGGACACGCGCGCTGGGGAAAGCGTGAGGGGTTCTGCTCTGCAGTGCTCCCCACAGACAAAGCCCAGATCCCAGGGCACAGCCCCAGCCCTCGGCCCAGAGGAAGACACGGGTAGTGCCTGTGCAGCCTCTCCGTCCCCAACGAGAGGTGGAAGCGATCCTTCTTGTCCCCCGGTGCTTAGGCACAGAGACAGAGGCACCCGCTAATGAAAATCTCTGGGGTCCATGGAGCACACTGGGAGATCATCTGTAGCAGGTGAAGGGTCCGTGGGACATTGTCTCGTTTCTTCCAGGGATGAATGCCGGGAAAAGCACAGAGGCTGCTGTTCACCAATCTGCGCGGAAGCGCTACATCGCAGCCGTGGTAATGTTCCCTGCTGCGGTGCTGGCCTGTGGTGCTGTGATATGGATGTGCAAAAAATACTTGTGAGTAGGCTTTTCCCCAAAACACCCGATTGCTGCATTTGGCAATGAAGCATCTGTAGTGCCAGGATCCTGGACGGCCAAATCAGCTGCTGGCAGTGCACTGCCAGGACTTACCAAGTTGCCAAGTCTTTCAAGTTTCCCCTTATTTCCTGTCAGTGAGTAGTGCTTTCTGAAACTCCTTCTCACAGAGTGCGCAAGAGAGAAGAGAGAGCAGCAGAACCGGCTCATCCTGATACCAACTAGGAGAGAGTTCCAACTGGAGACGA